TTAAATAAATCTCTGAACCCCAAAGATCTACTAAAATCTGTCTTTTGAATAGAAGATCAAGGTGATCAGATTAAAGATGTGGCCTTCCATTGCTACAGATGGACTTAAATTAGCTACAAATACTTTGAGTGTTATGGAAAGAAACTCTCATACCCTATTCCTCAAAGTATTGTGTACATTTTTAAACTACACTTTAAAAAGAATTTAGATTTAGTTACTGGCTATAGACATTTGAAAGTAAAGAAATAATAAATCTCATTTTTTAATATTAAAAATATGAGCCTATATTAAATAGCATTGGGATGTTTAAGACTTACAAGGTTATTTGGGTTCTAAACTGGTTATAGACAAGAGGCAGGCTAAGCTGTGTTACTCCTCCAAGCAGCCATACTTATTTTTTCCCTTTCCAGACAGGGCTATTTATTTTGGTTATCCTATTATTGTTCCATCATTATATGGAGAACAGAAAACTGATCATTTTAAATTTCAAATATCTTTAGACCAAAAGGAGTCTTGTATGGACTTATTGTAAAGACTTCTGTAAAACACTCAAAAATCCTGGGCTTTGAGCTTCAAGGGATTAGGGTTGTGTCTTTGGGAGTGGAATTGACTGTGCTCTGTATAATCAAAAGAGTCAAGTGAATTATTTGATGGCCAGAATAGTGGACTGTGCCAGTGGCAGATAGTGCTTCCTATATTCTCCATTTGTTCCCCTGCATTTTCCAATCTATTTGCTGTTAGGTTGAGACACAAAGAGCTGTCCTGATAAATGAACTACAAGCAAATGTGATGAGTGTCATTTTAGAGACATGACAGTTGAAAGAGGGTATTGCGTTTCTCCTTCAATCCTCTCTTCTCTTAGGGTTACAGCATGGAGTCATATGTTCCAGATAGCAGATGAGAGTAAAATAGCAAACACCTACCCGTATATGACACTATGTGAAAAATAAAGATTTATTTACTTAACATACTGAAATTTTTAATTTTTTTTTCATTGCACTAGCATCTATTACTATGACTAATCCATTAACTTTCAGTAACTCACTTAACTTTATTAAGCTTATTTACCTAAGTTTTCTCATGTAAATATTTGGATAGTGATTGTACTTAATTCATGCAGCTGCTTTAAAGTCTATTAATGATCTTATCCTAGGCTCTGGTACAAATTAAGCAATTAGTTAGTTTTAGCTATTATTATTACTGTTGTTGTTATTATTACCTTTTTATTTCTCTAGCAAATTACAAACAAGTTAGGGTATCATATAAATTATATATAAAAAAGTATATATGAATGAGGCATTATAGTCAATGAAATAGGAAATGAGGAAAAATTTGGAGTTTGAGGAGAATTGGAAATAACTAAGAGATATATTGTAATTTGATTTATAAAGTAAATAAGGATAAACTAAAGAAAATTTTCAAATATTATAGAGTCCAGATGAAGTTAAAAATATAGTTTCATACACCAAAACTTTTAACTCCCTCCTCTAATACTTACCAGTTTGGGGACAAAAGAAAAGCAGGCAAATTATATGATTTCCTGGGCTTGCAGACTGAGAAATGCATACTGATACGGTTAGTAAAACACAAAGAAACAGGTTGTTTTTGGGTCTAAGCTGAGTAGAGACTAAACTGAGATAAGAAGGCAGGTAGGTGTTAAGCTAGGGGAAGTAGGTCATTTTATTTATTTTTTATTTTCTAGAAATATTTATCTTTCAATAGGATGCAAATTATTTTCTTCAGTTAAAACAAAGCTAAAATACCACAAAATAAATATAAAAAAAAAAAATACTGTCCTTCTGGCAGGAGTGATTTTGGTTGAGAATAATTGTCAGAAAATGGCAGGGATTTATTATAAGTTTCCCTAAAATTGAGAGTGGAGCAGGAATCTGCACACAGACCAACTGCTGTTCCGTGTGACAGTGGGTTATGGAGCCCTTTTGACTTAGATAAAACAAATACATTCATTATGGGCTATTTATTCAGAGGAGATGGGTGCAAGGGATGAGTGTAGGCAATATGGGGAGTATTACAAATAACAGTGAAAATCAAAATATAATTAAATACGACAATACTTTTTAGTAAATAGTGACTCAGCTATAATGCCCAAACTAAAATTCCCATTTATACGTTAGATATGTTAATTAAACTGTGTTTAAAAAAAGAAAAAAAGGATCTTTATGCTCTGTCAAACAGTATCTGGCATGAGTCATCACAAAATATCTCTGACTTATTTCATGATTTGAAACCAAGTTTGAAGTTCAAATTGTCTGTTAGTCTGGGCAAGAAAATTGACCATTTGTTCTCCCCAAAGGCTCAAAATCTATTTATACCATACAGACCATTAAAAATCACACATGCTGTCCTAAAGGGGGAGAGTTGAAGTGTAATGAGAACTACACTCATTGAAAGTGCATATGAATGGGGAGGCTCTGTTACCTGTGCTTCCTTGTCAGGTCTTTCTTTCCTCATTGGAATATGATTTATGTAGTCCATCAATCAGGAGAATTAATGGTGTGACTAGCAATTCAGGACATACAGAGATAATCAACCCCTCATAAACTGTGTTAAAGCAAATAAAGCCTGCAAAATGGGACCGTTAACATAGCAATCAAATTTCAAAACTGTCTGCCTGCCTGCAGTAGAAAGTGTGTCAATGACCAAGAACAGAGGTGAAAAGAGAAAATGTTGGCTTAGGGAAGACAGATGTCTGGGGTCTTCTGGGAGAAAATTGAGAGACCTTCAAAAGAAGGGTCCATGTGAAACCCCCAGTCCTCATTGTTTAATGCCTTAAGCTGTGCCTCTAGCTGAAATGGCAGCATTAAGGATCTTATTGCCATTTGTAGGGTATACTTATCCCTTCTGTGCCTATATCCATTCTCCTACCATTTTACTTGTTGCACCCTAACTAAGGAAATTGCAGTTTCAGATATATAACTTCCCAGTCTCCTTCTATCTAGGATAGGGGCTTGCAACCAAAGCCTGGATGAAGGGACTTTAAGGGAATTCTGCTTAAGGCTTCTGGAGAAAATTATTTTTCTTTATAAAAAATAATATAGTCATGCCTCACCTATCAATTCTTGGATATTGCTATGAAAGGATATATTTCCTGAGGCACTTGCAGTTATCTTGAAGCCCATGGAAGGAGACAAATAACATAATGAAGCTAGAGAAGTAGAAAGGTGGGAAGAGCCTGAGATTTGATTCCCTCATTGATCTGTTAAACTGCCTCTAGAAGTACCCAACTTTAACTCTCTTTTGATGTGAGTAAATAAAGGTTCTTGGCATTTAAGCCAGTGCTTCTCAAAACTTTTCTGTGCATTCAAATCACCTGGGGATCTTGTTACCATTAAGTTTCTGATTTAGGAGGTCTAGGGTAGTACCTGAGACTCTGCATTTCTAACAAACTCTGAAGTGATGGCCAAGCTGCCTGCATATTGGTTCATTAGTATTTAAGTCACTTTTAAATTTGCATTCAGTTACTCAAAGACGGATGCATACTAACCGGCAACGCTGAAGAGCGAGGGACTTGGAAGTTGAATCCAACACAAAGATATGCATGATGATTCTTAGGAATTCACCAGCTACAAAATTCATTGATGTGATTATCGCATTTGAGGGCTTTAAGGTCATCATGGTATTTGTTCAAATCCTGGATCTGTCATTTACATTCTGTGTGACCCTGCAGGAAAGTTATTTGACCTCTCTGAATCTTGGTTTTTTTCATCGGAAAACATCACCATGTATCTCACATGGATGGCTTGAGGATTAGTTGAGATGATGTGAAGAAAAAGTCTAGATGTTAAACAAATGTGAGCTCCTTTTCTGTGATGCTACTGGCAGTAATGGAATTCTGTGTTGTCAAGCTTCACTCATGCCAAAGATTACTTATTTGAAATGGTGAAATGGTGCTAGGCCTGATAGAAAAGGACAGATTGTGGTAATCAGCCGAGACTTTCCTTGTAACTAAGCTTCTATATCAAAAGCCTGTGATGCTTGTATTAGACTATCCTACATTTAATTAGAAGTATTAAAAAAAATAATAAAGATTGTACTTTGATATGACTTGTTTCTTTAAAAAAATCTGTCTACCTTGTCTTTGATGAGAAAGGATTTTTGGATTTGCAGATGCTCTCTTCCAAAATTTCTGGAATATTGCCAAATGAAATGAATGTTGTTAGCAGATCTGATCAGTGGTAAATAAAATCTATTGCCTATAGTGATGTAAAAGAGAGGAAATGCAATTTTCCTAAGTCAAGTTGTAAATAGGATTATAATATCAGCTATGTTTCTAAGTATTGCGACATCCTTTCTGGATTTGTAGAGTTTGAAAGCTAGGTGAGGTTTTCATGTTTACAAGCTTGGGTGCTTTGATCAACATAATGTTTTGGATGCCTCTAAAATTGATTTTGGAATGCCCTTGGCATAATGCCAGAGCAAGAGATTTAACTAATACTTCTCAGGCATACAGTCATGGTCTTCTGGGAAAGGTTTTCATGGATAGAAATAACTCTTACATGTCTTCGACAGAAAATGAAAATATGTCCTAATATTATATATGTTCTCTTGACATTGGGGAATTTACATAACTTCTGTGTAGCTACAGTGGTACACTGGACGATCATTTACATTTCAGTATTACTGCTAACAAATAATTCTCAAAAATACCTAGAATTATATGTTCAAATATTCAGAATTCTGGAAAGGGGTGAACATGGGTTAAAACTCTCCTTATTGCAGGATTACTGTGGAGCAGAATGGTTGAGAACATGAGCTTCTAATTGGCTAGAGCTAGGTGTTAAGCTATTCACTCATTAGTTATGTAAATATGGCTGTTACTGCTCTGAAGCTCAATTTCCTTATCTGTAAAATGGGAATCATAATACCTGTTTAAGGCATGTCGAGATAATTCAACTTGACAATAAATATAGAACATCTAGCACATATTTGGTACTTAGTATGAGTCCGAAAAATTTTAGGTAGAAATGGCTTATTCGAACTTGAAAAGAAAGCACTTCTTTATTTTCATTTTATTTCTTTATCCTATAATATTCACAGTGGTAAGCTCTTGCTGGAGGAAAGGATTCCCCAGAAAGTAGTGCCTGGGTCAACAGCTATAGTTTGTTTTGGAAAGTGATTCTAGGGAATAGGAGCGGGGGACTGAGTACAGCGAAATGGGAAAGAAGGAAATAGAAAGGTACATTGGTGTGGGCATCTGAATTTCATGGGGACCAAGGACCATGTAGAATATCTGAGAGAAGAAAAAAGGAAAATAAAGACATCTGCCCCTGTTTTCCATTTGTTGGGTTTTTATGGGGTTATTACCATTCTTATATAGGTTTGCAGTATGTAAGTAGTAAACAGCCAGCATTATGTTAGTATCAGAGAAACCCCAGAACAGAAAGTGAAAGATAGAGCACAGCTGAGGACTCAGGTTTTATTTATACAATGCTCACTGCTGCAGGATGTGAAGGTCGTCAGAGAATGTGAGGAAGGACAAAAGAAATATTTCATATATGATTCTTTACAGAAATCATGTGCCCGCTATGACCCTTGAGATTTGAGAGCAATTCAGTCCCAGGTGCCTCTGTTTCAAAGCCCACCTTTTGAAGACAATGGTTTGAATAATTCTGCTGATAGACCAATATGTAAGTCACCTCATTCTAGAAAATCTACAACTGGCATCTGCAGGACCCTCAGTGGTGATTTCTATGCTAAACATCCAATCAGAAAAGACACATTCTCAGAGTGAGCTGAAATTCATGTTTTGAAGAGCACCCTCTTGCCTTGATTATGTCAGGAAACTCAAATAAATTTGCATTGACTCCTTGGTCTCTAAGTGTTGAGTCAGAGATTTCAATGGAGGAAGTTAGTGAAAGAATACTTTTCCCTTTCAAAATAGTTTACAAAGTTTATATATTGTCTGGATGATTTAATACTGCTTACCTATTCTATTTTATAGTTTATTTTTATTTATTTATTTATTTTTACCTTTAAGGGGGAAATAACACTTGAAAAGCTTGCTACTAGAGTGCTACAAAACTCTAAGAATGCATACATACATATAAAATAGTGGAATGTGGTCAAAGGAAATGTATAAAACAGCTTACGTGATTCCTTTAATAATTGGTGTCCATGTGTTGGTGAACATTCCCTTATCTATAACGGCTCAATTAATAAAATAAAAAATCAGGGAAATGAAAATTTTCCACCTTCCTATTAAAAAGTATGTCTTCATTTGAGATCTATTTAGCCTTTAAGGTGAAAGTGGGTTCCAGACAAATGTCTCACATTAGAATTTGTATTAAATTAATTGAAAAATAGGTAAACATTGATAATAATAATAAAACAAGAGAAATGATGAACGGCAAAAGGTAAATACTTTTTAAATGTTACTCAAATACACATTCAATAAAACCACATCGTTTGGACAACATAATTATTTGTATCATCAAAATCTCTAGTGGTTGAAATTTTAAAAAGTTTCAGTTGGACTTCAAATCAGCCTAAAAAGAAATTTCCATCTTAATAAAATAGGCAAAACTTTCCTTTTAAACATTACAACTTATTCTTTTAAAAATGTGTTTACTATTCTTGAAAAAGATCTGAAATAGATATTTCAGAATAAAGAGCCTTTTCTATTTTAAATTGAATCTAATGGAGCAGTGAAAACACAATTCCAAAGCATCCAAAAGAAAAGCAGAATATCCAAAAAACCATTCATACATTCACAAATACCCAGATTTGGGGGTTGATTCTTTGACAAAACTGGAGATTTACTGAGCAATTCCATGACATTTTTTCTTCCTGGTGTTCAGATGTCATGATTATCCAGCCTATACCAAGAAATTTTTAAAATAATAAAAATACAGTATATTCCCTAGATTTCTCTGAACTTTGCAGACTTTTAGACATCTTCTGGAAGATCCCTAAGTGAAGTGCAAAGATACTCCTTGACTCACCAAAGTTAATGTTCTTGTGTCCTAAATTGACTTCATACAGTCAAGTTTCTTTTATACTCTCATTTACTTACTATGGCAAGGCAATACAGCCCAGGAATTTTGTGCCTTCATCTCAAATTAAATAGCAAACACTGCTATTTGTGAAATTTTGGCCAATGATTAAAAATATTTCATTTCTGATTCTCACCATTAGAATTTAAACAGTAACAGATGGATTGGGCAGGCATTGAATACTAAATAGAAACTGGCAAATGAAATAATCCAGCTCTTTGCTTTTACAATGAAAATGAGAATTGATTCTGCATTGAGAGAGAGAGAGGTAAAAGGACCAAGTGTTTTTTTTAAAAAAAAAAAAAAAACCTTCTTCACCAAAAGAGCAAAATAGTACTCAGTAGCATTGCATTATTAACAAAAGTTCTTTATCAGAAACTATAATTTAATATTTAAGTATCTAATTTACATGTGACAAGGTATCATATTCAAAAAATTAAATTGCAACTAGAAAACTATTAACCACTAAAAACGATACCAAACACAACCCAAACATTTATAGGAAAGCAATAGCTAGAATTTGAATTGGAAAAAATGTTGCATCATATTTGGCTCATTAAACAAGGAATCCATTATAGCCTGTAAAAGAGCGTCTGTTCTAATTCATCAAAAGTTTATCCTGTGTAGCATGAATAACATGTAAAGATAGATTTATTGACTGTATATGCACACATGTGTATATATATTGTGAGACACACACTTGTGTGTTGATTTAAAGATATATCTACTGATAACTGGCTGAACTTTGGAAGATGCTGAAATCCATATTTCTATATGACCTTTAACCCATTTAATAATTTTTTTATGAACAGAAATTACATAAAATACTATGATTTTTATTAACTGAATATTTTCTTAAGCATAATAATAGATAAGGAATTGCACTTATTGTAAAAGTACAGTAAAGTGTTAGATTGCAGCTCAGCCATCAAAGATCATGGTCTGTAGTACTGATAAGCTATGCATCATATGCAAAGATGATGGTGGCCATAGAAATTAAAATGAGAGCAACTGGTTACAGAATGAATAGGGGATAACAGAAGAAAACATGCACTATTCCTACTTTAATGCAAAACTAATTTGTCCCAGGAAACAAACCCTTTGATCTTCCTTACACAAAGAAACAGGTTCTACACCCTTGGCAAAACAGTAGACTTGGACTTCTATAATCAAATTCTAGTTCATTGTCTCTGAGTGTGCTGTTCCAGTGTCATCTCTTTAAGCTGCCCTTGAAATTCTGGAGCATCTACAATATTACAGTCTCTTGTTTAGATTTCATTGAGCCTCAATATTCCCTTAAGTTCCATATAAATAGAGTCCATTATTCATCTTCTTCTGGTTCCTGTGGTAACACGGATATATCTTCCTTCAAACAATCACTGAAAAATCTGAGGATTGTGCTGTAGAGATGATATTTACTTTTCTCAGATACTTTATGATCTTCATCTGGGTAGACCTAAGGTGTTGAGGGGAAAGGAGATTTAAAGTTACAAAAGTGAGTACTGTCCCTCAGAATTCATTCTTTTAGTTCCAATGGCATGGGAACTTTGGAAAATAATACCTAACGAAAATCTCACCTAATTCAACTCTGAATTCTTCATAATACATTTTTCTTTTTTATTATAATTATATCATAATTGACATTTGAGACAACATATAATTTTTATGTGTTTAATTTAGAATTTGTTGGTCAAAAATTTTAGTCACTTTCTTTCTGACTATAAGTCCTTCCCTGTCCTCCCTTATATTAGAGCATTTAATATAGAGAACTTTCAACTGTAAATTTATTCTCTGCCCCTTTGAAATGTACGTACATCTTCTTGCCTATTGCCAGTTTTATAACTGAGTAAATGTCTTTCCTAAGGAACTGGAAACATCTCTTTTAAATGTAAACATTGGAGACAGCACTCCTATCTCCCAGTCTCTGTGGAAGGGTAGAGGCCTCATTCCAAGTTGTAAAATTGCCTATTGTCATAAGGATACAAGAAAGTTTATTTTTCTTATTGGTAAGGCCAATTACCAAATGCAGGTGGACAATGAGTCCTTCTATCTCAACTTAAAAATTCTGCAGCCCTTTGTTTCAAGTAGAATTTAATCTCTCTCCCCTATTGCAATAGTCTTGAATAAAATCTTCCTTGTCTGTTTAGTCTTCTATGGTACAATTTTTACTCTAACGATGTCCTTTTCAATATAAAAGACATTAGTGATTTTTGTTTAATACAAATATAAACATAAATATTTTCATATCAATTCCTGGGTGTAAAGTTTTTAAATGGTGTCTGATTGTCCTCTGAGTAAAGACATACTCTTTCAGATTGTTAATGGTATGACCTGTAATTCTAACTGTGGTTCCTGTGTTTGAAATATGTTGAAATATTTTTAGTTCTTCCACTGCTGAGAAATTAAAATTACTTTTTTTTCCTTCTATGATTCTTCCTTCAGACTGAAATTCCTTCATATTATAAAGCATGTCTTATTTATTTACCCATCTATCACAGTGACTGTTTTAAAGAAAGTCCTTGATAAATATTTATTAAATGTGATTGAAGGCATATGTAAATGATGTTTTACCCACTCCTTTTTTTCTCATAACATTTACTCAAACTATCTTTTTTTCTCAATTTTTAGGATAAGCCTGATGGAAAGTGAGGAAAAGACAGATTAGGGAGAAAAGAAAATTGTTCTTTTGAAAGAATTCATTATCAGTGATATGAATAAAAATCTAAGGAGAAAAAGACATTACATAAGAGTTTATTATATAATTAACTTGTAAAGCATGAGTTGATCCACAATCTCAGTGTAATTATAAAAAGAATAAAATCTTTGGTAGCTAAAAAATCTAGGTAGGTTACACCTGTCAGAATGGCCATCATCAATAAATCAACAAACAACAAGTGTTGGTAAGGATCTAGAGAAAAGGAACCTTTCTGAGCGGTTGGTGAGATTGTAAATTGGTACAGTCACTATGGAAAACAGTATGGAGGCTATTCATAAAATTAAAAATAAAACTATTTTATGACCCAGCAATTCCACTTCTGGGTATTTATTTGAATAAATCCTAAACACTAATTTAAGAAGATATATGCATCCTTATGTTATTGCAGCATTTACAATAGTCAAGATATGAAAGCAACCTAAGTGCATTATCAATAGATGATTGGATAAAGAAGAGGCGGTACATATATACAATGGAATATTACATAGCCTTAAAAAAAGAATGAAATCTTACCATTTGTGAGAGCATGGATGTACCTGGAATGTATTAGGCTAAGTGAAATAAGTCAGACAGAGAAGGACAAATACCATATGACCACACTTAAATGTGGAATCTAAAGAACAAAACAAATGAACAAACAACAGAAACAGACTCATAGATGTAGAGAACAAGCCGATGTTTGTCAGATGGGAGGGAGGTTAGGGGCTGGGTAAAAACAGGTGAAGGGATTAAGAGGTACAAATCGGTAGTTACAAAATAGTCATAGGGATGTAAAGTACAGGGAATATAGTAAATAATATGTTAGTAACTATATATAGTGCTAGGTAGGTACTAGACTAGTCATGTGAATCACTTCATAAATTATATAAATGTCTAACCTCTATGCTGTATTCCTGAAACTAATACAAAATAATACTGAATGTCAAAAAAAAAAAAATCCTAGATAAAAAAACACATTCTTCTGAAAAAATGGCTTACCTGCATAGTATAATTTACTCCGGCTTTTATTAGGTGTTTGATTAATTCTGCTGAATGCTGGAAATGAACTTTTGCTGCAATAAATTAAATTATGATATTTGAAGGAAATGTGTTTATTAGCATCAGAACTTTTTTATGTAATTTTTCTTCAAAGAGATTAAGTATTTCACTTAATATATACATTGCATATTTAAAAGACAGATACCTGGCTTTGACTTGGAAGCCAGTAGATGCGACGGTGATAAAACTTTGAGCTTCACATTATAAAAAAATAAACTGAAATAGTAGCTACTACTAAGGTTCTAGTTATTGTCCAGGTGGTACTTAGATTTACTTTATTGGTTATTATTTATTATTTCTAACTGTTCACATACTTTATACCATTCTAACAATTTTAACATGGTAAATGTCTGTCTGGATAGTAATACAACAAATCAGTTTCCATTTCTTTCCGAGGAGTACTTGGGACCACTCTCAGTTATATACTGGCATTCTGTTTTACTTTAAATTAGAAAAGAATAGCCTATGTTGAGAGAAGATAGTACACATCTCATTATTCAAGGGTTAAATATTTACTGTATATTACATTGGGTTTTGCAGTTTCTTTCTAGCCTCCTTCTGCTTTATCCTAAAGTCCAAAACTCTGAAATAAGCAGCACAGTAGACAGAAGTTGGAGAGCAGCATTGGCCCTAGCTAGCTCTGAAGACATGGACAAATCACTCAAATCTCCGAATATCAATTTGCTCACACACTGCTTGGGCTATTTATTCCTGTATTATGTACATCTTCAAATTTCTGTAAATAACTTTTAAGCTATCATTTTTAAAACTGTCTTTGTAAAACTAGGGCAGGATTATCAATAGTTTAAGCTCCTTCACTGCTCTAATTCTATGATATTAATCCTACTGCATAATAGATGATAAAAGGTTACAAAGAATTATTTAAATCTTTTAAAAAATCTACCCAAGATCTTTTTCAACATCTTCCTATTGTACTTAATGGAAAATGACCCTGTCATCTCTAAATAAGTTTACAGATTGCTCTGCAAATTTAAACTACTAGAAATGCTAATGAATAGGGGCAATGAAAGGTAAAATGATCTCTTATATGGGTCATTTGTTTCTTGTAGGAAAATATTTTGGAAAGAACCCCATCATTTACGTCTATAGATACAGCCTAAAAGACAAATTTATAAATGGAATTCCCAAATGAATTTATTTCTGTTTAGTTTGTAGTGCAGAACCTATTGATATTTGTCATTTGTTCCCTTCCTCAATATAAACAGGGGCATTAGATGTATAATTGGCTGAGTGAACTAATTTGCTGGTAGTTATCGAAGATGATATTAATAATAGGAGTATTATAGTGTCATTGAGCGCATACAAGCCATCAGGCCCATATGGGGTTCTGTCTATGGTATATATGTATATATATATATGAGTGTGTGTGTGAATTGTGTGTGTGCATACACAAATACACAGGTGCATTTCCTTTAATGTGACTAGTGCTGAACCTCTGCTTGTATTTTATCAGAAGGGTGAAGCACCAGGGCTGTAACTGAATGAATCAGATAGGAATAACATGATTTATCTTAATAGCTGCAACATATTGACAGAGAAATTTGAATAGCACTAATATGTTCTAGGGTGATGGCTAGAGGTAAAATAATTCAATCCTGAATATAATTTATTCCTACAATTGAAGCTTCAGAGCACAGAAAATTACAGCCTCAATGCCAGATTCAAATCCTCCTCCTACAAATCAATAGTTGTATGATTTTTGGCAAGTTATATAAATTCTGTAATATTTATTTTTTCAATTTGTTAAATAATAATAAGAAGAATACTGCACAGTAGTTTTGTAAAAAACAGGTAAATATAATATTAAAAACTGTTGGCATATTTTCTTACATATAGTCAGTACTTAATAATGGCTATTTATTGTTAGTACTATTAATATACATGTAATGTCTTAATATCTTAAAACAAAATTCTAATATCCTTCAAAATGTTTATGCTTCTCTTTCATTATGTTTCACCTACCACATGTATGGTATTATCTAAGTATTTTTTTAGATCTTACAGTAGTTTTAGATTTTCAGAAATGTTACAAAGACAGTACAGAAGTTCTTATGTATCTCTTATCCAGTTTCCCCTATTGTTAATTTTTACATTATCATGGTATATTTTTCACAACTAAGAAGCATTTAGACATCATGTCTCTTTAACCTCTTTCAGTTTATCAGAATTTTTCATATTTTATTTTTGATGACCTTAACAGTTCTGAGGAATACTGGTCAGGTTTTGGGTAGAATATTCCTCATTTGGGTGTTTTACTCATGGATAGACTCAGGTTATGTTTTTTTGGGACAAGAAAATAACGGATTGCCATTCTCATAAAATTATATCAAGGATGTATACTATCACCATGATTTGTCATTTTTGATGTTAACCTTGACTGCCTGGCTAAATGGTATTTATCAAATTTCTCTACTGTAAATATACTTTTACTCTTCTTTCCCTACAGTGCTCTTGAAGGAAATCAGTAAGTGCAACAGACTCTAAAGTGGGGAAGGAGGAGAGTTAAGCTTTGCTTCTTTGAGGGAGAGTATCCATATAAATTATTCAAAATTCTACCTAAGGGAGATTTGTATATATTGCACTGAACACTAATTTAACCATAGCCTGGCATGCTCGAAAGTTAAATTTGACACTTTGTATGGTCTTTGCTATAAAACCATTTTAGTTATATTCTTTGTACGATGGAGGAAAAATACTGAGGCAGGGCAGGGTAGACTAAGAAAAACAAGTTTAAGATTTAGGAAATATAGATTCAAGGCTTTGACTGTCTTTGCTCACTTTCCAGATAATCCTGAATACATTTACTTTCCTCCTTGATACTGATTTTTCTCATCTGTGAATGGGGCTATAAATACTCAGCCCTCTGTTGTAAAGTTTCACACAAAATAAAAAAATACATATATAAATTCTTTGAGCCCTGAACACTTCATGTGAATATAAAATATTATTTATTATTAGTAATATCAATCACATCATGCTCAACATTTAACATGATAAAAAAAATGAGAGGTGATATGAAAGTGCTTTTTTAAATATTTCTGTTTTAACTTAAGTGGGTAGCTTCCCAATAATTTTATCTTAGCACTGGCGCCTTTTTGCTATCCTGTTGTTTTCTAGGTCAGTTTCCTTTTGAGATACACTGAATAACACTGTAGTGGTAGTCACTAGCCACATGTGATTATTTAAATTTAAATTAATTAAAATTTAAAATATTAGTTCTTTAGTCATACTAAACACATTTCAACACTTACGAGCCACATGTGACCAATGGCTACTGTGTTCAACAGCGCAGATACAACATTTCTATCAAACTAGAACATTTTACTGGACAGTGCTGCTACGGAGGCTCATAACTTCCTGACTTCTTCTCATTTCTCATCATGCATTGGATTCTTTGTGCTACTCTTCTCTGCTCTTTTCTTTAGTAAGTTTATAGGGCCTCCTGTAAGTAAGTTCTTGAATATATCCCTTTGTTCAAGGTCAGATCCCATCAATCATTAGCAGGATATAGAATACTTACTGTCAGCAGTCCCATGAATTACTAATATATTTTCCTCTTTTAAGCCATGGATATTATGTAGCACACTGGATGCCTATAAGGAAAAACACAAAAAGTCTGTATATATATATAGATTTATCTATGTTGCATTTTGACTGAGTTTATAGAGCAAAAATAACCTTTTCTTCTTTATTTTTTAATTAGTTACCTGGTATGTGCTTTCTTCTTTAGATGGCATACCAAGATATCTTTCAGAGAAAGCTGAGGCTGTAACCGAAGAAAACAAAAATTTAGTAATAAACTAAAAAACACTGGAGTAGCACATTTCATTAATTTCTATATTTTACATTGCATCATCATGTTCTAGTAAAATTGATTAAATCATGAAAGTGATAAAGAGCTGAAAACATCTCATAACACTTGATAAGTGAGCTCAAATGAGTTCCTCTGCATTGGGATTTTATTTTCTACAAATCATTATGTTATATTATGTCAGTCTATAGAAAGTACTCACCATATAACTTCAAGTCTGTGATAGGTGCAATCACTGATCCACATTTAAAAAGCTTTTCATCTGATTTTAAGATCATCGATGCAATATAGCCACCGTACCCCTAGCAAAATCAAACAAACAAAATATATAGTTTGCTTTATATGTATATATATGTATAACAATTATTTATAGAGATACTTTCAGCCTCATTACTGTTAAATAATATATATATCAGAATGTCACATCATGTCCCAAACATAAACATAATGATACACAAATATCACTTTATGCAGATAAAATTTTTGAAAAGAGTTGTTTAAAATTTTATATAACAAGTTATTTTAATATTTTAGGTAAAATATAAAATTAATTCTATACCACCAAGTGTCAAATGTTTACTCTTTGATTTCATACTGTACATTCGTAAATAGCCCCCAAAATTTGAAGCTAGGTAAAAATAGCACTTATTAAATCATATATAATTTTAGGCAAATTATATATATATAAATAAAATAAATTTACATATAAATAAAACATTTAATAATGATGATGGTTACACAGAATTAAGAAAAGAGAATTAAATATTTAAAATCTAGCATTGTAAATATAGATTCTACTTTCAACACAACTAAAAATTTGAAGAAAATGGGATACAGTAAATAATGTTGCTACATAGATAAATTGGATTATTGATGAAATTTAATTTAGAAATATCACCTTGCAATATTTTTGAACTGATTTAATGATAAATTCTTAAAAATAAATAAAGGTATTCATTTTTCTTTTGTAGACTATGAAGTGACCAGAAAAGTTCCATAGGAGATTTTAACAATTACAATAATACTAGGCTAAAATAATGACCTACTGAATTAGCTATTCATTTTAGAAGTTAATTTCTAGCTGTGCTCTGGGCTCTGGGCAATGTTCTTATCAGCTGGACCTCAGAGTATCCTAGGAAGTATTAAAAAATATTAATACCCTGGCCTTAGTTTGATGCAATTGGTTCATGATGAGGTCCACTTTTTAAAGATTTCCAGATGATGATAGTATAGTTCAGTGCTATAGGAATCTATTATTCTCACTAAGCACTTGAGATGAGAAATACAGAATTTCATTTATGCTTATATGGAGCATCATTTAAATATTAGTACATGAAAGTCCAAAATGTAGTCAGACATTACCGAAGTGGCTGAGAGAACATATGTGTAGAGTAGCAGAATATTCCAACTGGAAAACATGCCACTATGGCATAATGATTATTTTGAGCTACAAGTACTTAAAAAACAGCTCATATAGGGAGAGCTTTTCTCTGAACTCTCCTTATCCTTCAAGACGGATTCTCCAACATGAGCTCAATTGTTATAGATCTCCTCCCTGGGAATTTCAACACCCAGGGAAGGCTGACTCTTGTCACGGGAGAGGACACTAGAAGTTGACAACATATGCAGACAAACTGTCACAAACTGTATTTCTCATCTATTCAAGGTCCCATTCTTTTTTAATAATCATATATTTCTTCTAAAGTGCCTATGTTCCTTTTCTCCTTTCCCTATTAAGATGGTATTTAAGTCTGAATTATTTCTTTTATTATATTCTATATTAATTTCTGATATACAATACATTGGTAAGACATTTATATGGTTTATGAAGTGATCCTCTGATTATTCTATCACCCATCTGGCTCTACACACAGCCATTACACTACTATCAACTTTATTCCCTATGCTTACTCTACATCCCCATGATTATTTTGTAACTACTTACTTGTACTTCCTCATCCCTTCACCTTTTTTTTTCAGCCTTCCAGATCCCCTCCTCTGTGGCTGTAACCAGATTGTCCTAAGTATTTGTGAATCTATTTTTGTTTAGTTTGTTCCTCTTGTTTCTTAGATTCACATATAAGTGAAATCATATGGTATTGTTTTTCTCTGTCTTATTTCACTAAGCATAATAATGTCCAGGTTCATCCATGTCATTGTAAATGGTAGGATTTTGGTATTTTTATGGCTGAGTAATATTCCATTATATATATGAACCATAACTTCTTTATCCAATTGTCTGTTAGACATTTTGGTTGCTTCCATATCTTGGCTATTATGAATAGTGCTGCTATTAACATGGGGGTGCATAGATCTTTATGAATTATTGTTTTGGTTTTCTTTGGCTAAATACACAGAAGTTCAACTGCTGGGTCAAAAGATAGCTCTATTTTTAATTTTTTGAGGAAACTCCAAACTGTTTTCCATAGTGGATGTACTATTTGGCAATCTCACCAACAGTGTACAAGGGCTACTTTTTCTCCACATCCTCACCAGCACTTGCTGTTTTTGATTTATTGATGGTAGTCATTTTGATAGGTATGAGGTTGGTATCTCATTGTGGTTTTAATCTGCATTTATCTGATAATTTGTGATCTTGGGCATATTTTCATATGTCTATTGGCCATCTGTATTTCTTCTTTGGAGAAATACAATTCAGATGCTCTGCCCATTTTTTAATTGGATTTTGTTGTTGTTGTTGTTGTTGAGTTGTAGGAGTTATTTATATATTTTTTATCTTAACTACTTATCAAATGTATCATAGATGAATATCTTCTCCCATTTAGTAAGTTGTCTTTTCATTTTGTTGATTTCCTTTGCTGTGCAAAATTTTTTTAGTTTAATGTAATCCCATTTGTTTATTTTTTCTTTTCTTTCCTTTGCCTGAAGAGATATAGCAGGAAAAAAATTACTAATAACAATATCAGATAATTTACTACCTATGTTTTCTTCTAGAAGTTTTATGGTTTCAGGGCTTCCATTTAAGTCTTTAATCTATTTTGAGGTTACTCTTGTGTAAGAAGGTGGTCCAGTTTCATTTTTCTTCATGTATCCATCTAGTTTTCCCAGCACCATTTGTTGAGACCATATTTACCCAATTGTATATTCTTGCCTCCTCTGTCATAGATTAAATGACCATATAGGTGTGGATTTATTTCTGGGCTCTCTATTCTGTTTCATTGATCTTTGTATCTGTTTTTATGTCACTACCATGACGTTTTGATTACTATAGACTCATAGTCAGTTACTGTGATACCTCCAACTTTCTTCTCCTTTATCAAGATTGCTGTGGTTATTCGGGATCTTTCAGAGTTCCATATACATTTTTGGATTATTTGTTCTATTTCTCTGAAAAATGACATTGGTATTTTGATAAGGATAGCATTTAATCCATAGATTGCTTTGTGTAGAATGGCCATTTTAACGATGCTGATTATTCCTACTCGTGAGCACGGTATATGCTTCCATTTATTTGTATCTTCTTCAATTTCTTTTTTGAATGATTTATAATTTTCCAAGAATGGGTCTTTTATCTCCTTGGTTAATTTGATGCCTATGTATGTTATTGTTTTTGATGCAGTTTTAAATGGGATTGCTTTCTTAATTTCCCTTTATGATAATTCATCATTGGTATATAAAAATGTAACTGACTTCTGAATATCAATTTTGTATCCTGCTTCTTTACTGAATTCATTGATCAGTTTTTGGTCAAATGTTTAGGGTTCTTAAGCCCAAATTCTAAGCCACTTCCAAGAGTTACTCATTTTCCTTGGTTATCTCCTATGTAAATATGAAGTATACATATTAATAACTTCATTTTTCTCTTGTGAATGTCTTTTTTACAGGAGGTTTCATCCAATAATTTAGAATTATAAAGGAGAAATTATTTCCCTAAAAAAAAAACTACACTACATATGTCAATTTGTACTGGAATATTTAACTAGTAACCATAAGCTTGAGCAGAGTTTCCTTAATAATTAGGAGCTAAGGGAAATAAAATGATCCTTTATAGAGTTAAGCCACCAAGAAGGACTTTGCTCAGTCTCTTTGGGAGAGATAAAAATAGCCTTTGGTTAGCAAAATTTAAACGTGTTAACACACTTCCCATTGTGTTTAATTGTGTTAACATGTATAAAGAAAAAAGTGCAGAGAAGGAAACAAATTTTATTCTACCCTTCTGAGTTCTTGGCTGAGATGTCTTCTAACAGATTAACAGGTAAGAAACAAATAGAAGTTTCTTAACATGTATACATGGGAAATACCCAGGGAAATTGAATGACTCTATTAGATAACCCAGGCTACCACCTTGAATACCATCTTCAACTAAAGACAAAAGAAAGATGCTTGGGGAGACTAGTTATAAGAGGTGACCAGGAAAAGACCACAAAACAAGGGTAAGGTTTGCTATACAGATTTAAGTGTTTTCTTCCTTGATAATAGTTTCATATGATTTATTAGAGTTATTCTTCTCTTCCTGGTGCAGAGAGGGAGACACAAATGGAGATTTCCTTTATAAATGTCCATGTCCCTTACAAAAGGGTAACTTCTACTGTTTTCAAATCTTCCCCTGTGGCCGCCGTTTCTTAAAATAATCAGCTCAAAATAATCCTCATACCAAAGAAGTACATTCTGGGGTGGCATATTCTGCTCCCCTTTGATTTATGCAAAGGAAGTAAATAAATAGCTAGTTAGAGTGAAAGTGTGGGGAGTCTTTGAAAGTTCTGTCCCTAGAGGGAGCTTTCCCAGTGTATTATTGCTAGTTCTCTGTCATAGAGATGAGACAGGGGTGTCACATCCAAGAGGTTTCAAGTATTTCCCATAGAGTAATACTTTTCCCATAGTAAGAAAAGCATTTTAGATGGTAACTTTTCTGGTTCTGATTTCACAATGATCAAGCAAACTCTCAATTGATTATGATTTGGTTATTTGTATATATACTTCACTACTTTGGGAGAATAGCTGAATGTTCCAATCTATAGAACAACTATATATCACATTTAAATAATATAAAATAATAAACTGATGTTATGTTGTTGTTTTTTTTTTACCTCAAAGTCACACCATTCTGATTTTGATTATCCCTGGAAAATAAGAAAAATGGTGCCTTCTAAAGGAGAAGGAGATCCTAGAATAATCCTTCTCAAATTGAATGTTCATTCAAAATACTTGAGAATCTTCTGAAGATGAACTTTCTAATTCAGTAGATCTGAATTGGGCCCCAAGATTTTGCACTTTTAAGAAACTCCCAGAGGATGCCTATGCTGTGGTCCACATATTGAATAGTAATTTTGTATAGCATAATAACAATAAAGAACCTACCAGAACATCTTAACTTCAGCTAACATTCCCTAGACTAGTGGAGCTTTAAAAATATATCAGTGCTGTTGAAAATAATTCAAGCAGTCTGTGGAGAATGGGCTGTACAGCTCTCCATGTGATTTTAAGTGAAACTAGGGTTGTAAATCATTGCTGCTATACAACAAATTGTATTTTACTACTTTTTTAAATATGAAATTTTGAGATTAATGAAACTAAATACCCTTTAAGACTTACCGATAGTAAAGCTGTTGAATATGATTCTCTCTGTACCATTTAAGAACCTAATCCAAAATGTTGCTTCAATCTGATTTATTTTAGAGAAATAACTTCTATTTTTAAAAGAAAATCAACATCATCAGGAATTAGAATGAATTAAATTGCTCACCTTCCTCTCTATCATTTCATATTTATTCACTGAATGTAAAAGTAAATCATAAAAAAGTTCCAGGGAAATATATTCCAAAAAAGGTTAGGAATTAGCCAGAAGATCTATCTATATATGAAGATGGTGATTTTAATTTAAAACAGCTCACGTCTATCAGAAAGATGTAAAAAACTGGTGATTATCATATTGACTCTGTAGTTAATTAGATGTTTTTGACTTGATTTATATAAAAAAAATAATTAATTGTATAGGATGCTTTCTTTCAGTTGTGCTGTCTTTTTATTGGTTTGTTCAGTGATCACATTTTTACATTCATTACAATTATTATGTCAATTCTTTTTGCAAAGCTTTTTTGTGTTACTTATAAAATTTTAATAAATGTATATATTTTAAAATAATTTTGTTTACCTATAAAATACTTGTAAAATATTGAAATGAAATTGGATATAAAAAGCCAAAAGTTGTCTTCTATGCTGGCTAAAGCTTATCTCTCTCTTTTCCTCTAATATCCATGTGATAGTTTTAGAATGTAATATATTTATTTAATCAGTACTTTCTTGATGTTTATGGGCTTAACATTTCAATAAGTAGAAAATAAGTAGCAGTATTTTCTAAAAATATGTATTATTTGACATGAAAAGCAGTTTTAGAAATACCATCATTTGATTTCTTTTTTATTTCTTTTTATTTTTTATTAGTTTCAAGTTGGTTAGAGACATATAGCTTATGAAACAATCCCCTTGATTACTCTATCTTTCCTCTGGCTCTACACATAGCCATCACATTATCGCTCACTGCATTCCCTATATCGTGCTTCCCATTCTCGATCCACTACTAATTTGTACTTCTTTAATCCTTCACTGCTTTCTTCCAGTCCCCCAAGTCTCCTCCCCTCTGGTCATCACCAGATTGTCCTCTATATTTGTGAGTCTGTTCTTGATTAGTTTGTTCGTTTTGTTCTTTAGATTCTGCATATAAGTGAAATCCAATGATATTTATCTTTCTCTGTCTGACTTATTTCACTCAGCATAATAACCTCAAGGTCCACCCATGCCATTGCAAATGGTACAATTTCATTTGTTTTTATGGCTGAGTAATATTCCATTGTATATATGAACCAGAACTTCTTTATCCAATTGTCTGTTGATGGGCATTTAGGTTGCTTCCATTTCCTGGCTATTGCAAATAGTGCTGCCATGTACATAGAGATGGATAGATCTTTATGAATTATTGTTTTGGTTTTCTTTGGCTAAATACCCAGGAATGCAAATTGCTGGGTTAAAAGGTAGATTCATTTTTAATTTTTGAGGAACCTCCAGACTCTTTTCCATAGTGGCTCTACCAATTCACAATCCCACCAAGAGTGTACAAGAGTTCCCTTTTCTCCATATCCTCACTATCACTTGCTGTTTTTTGATTTTTTGATGAAAGCCATTCTGACAGGCGTCAGGTGATATATCACTGTGGTTTTACTTTGCATTTCTCTGATGATTAGTGACCTTGAGCATCTTTTCATATGTCTACTGGCCATCTGTATTTCCTCTTTGGAGAAATATCTATTTAGGTCTTCTGCCCATTTTATCATTCTATTTCTTAATCAGCTTACGTGGTTAAGAGAACATAGCTTAGAATTGCTTTCCAAATTCTTAAAGATTAAGTTATTAAAATTACGCACAAAACAAAAAATATCGACCAGTTTCTCAGATTTCATTATTTCAGCTTTATGAGAACAACAATGAAATGTACCTCAGAACTTCTAAGTTTAGTTTCTGCTGGCAAAGTCAATTATAATAAATGAAATTAGTTAACTAGTTAGCTCTATGTAGATGTACATGTAAATATATAGACTATAAAAAATATAAATTTTAGACTAGGAGGGAAAAAAAAGCATGAACTGGATATCAATCAAATATTGATGAATAGAAAGGAAAGAAGATAATCAAAGATGGTAAATTCTTGGCCCACTGCTGCCATTCATCTTTCTTTTCCCAATAATATTATTCGACTATAATTAATTACAAATTACTTTATTTGAGGTTCTCCAAACATGTCCTCCTTACTGAAACTGGTATCTACAGGAGACTACTTTCCTTGCCCTCTACTTACTGAATGATTTTCACCATCCAGTTCATGTTATACATTTTCCATGAGGCTATTTACAACCTTCTAAATATATTCTAAATGTCCCTACTAATGAATATTTGTAGAACTCATTTGGCCCTTTATACCTGTTTATATGTACAGTAAGTATAGCACTGAAATACATAAGCTCTGAGTCCTTTGCAAATTATTACATACTTTGGAACCATTAAGGAGTAAGATGTTCTTCACTATATGCACTGTTTTTGGGAATGGTAAAAACACAGAACACCTTAACTGCTTTTAAATGCACAGTTCAGTAACATCAAGTGTAATCACATATATGTGCAACTGATATCCAGAATTTTTTCATGTTGTGAATCTGAAATTTTATACATGTTGAACAACTACTCTCTCTTTTCTTGCTCTCTCCAGACCCTGGAAACCACCATTCCACTCTCTCTCTCCATGAACTTGACCACTCTAGATGCCTCTTATAAGGAGAATCACACAGTATTTGTCTTTCTGTGATTGGTTCACTTCACTGAGTACGACATCCTCAAGGTTCATCCAGGCCGAAGCATGGGACAAGATTTCACTATATGCACTTTTTCATGTATCTAGAATTTCCATTTCTTTGAAATGTTCATTTTCTTAGACATTTTCATTTTTTCATTAATATTTTTACCGCTAATGATGAGCTTTCATTTATTTATTTGTTTTCATTTATGTTAGGGGAGTATTGTTCTCAAAATATTTTTATTAATTATTTGAATATTACTGACAACCAGAATTAAATATACCAAATATTTGAAGTAGGAAGAATGGGAATGATTTACGCTGATTTATATTTTACTCATTTGTTAAGTAGCTTTTTAGGTAACTAATTGTCAGTACACACTATTAAAATGTATGACCCAGGAAAATTACATTATTTAATGTCATGTATCTCTAAGTTCATTTATGAATAGTAGAAAATATTTCATATGTAAATCCATGAGCACCAAGAATTTGCTTTGTCTAAAAAGTGCAAGATCTTCTTTTCATCTTCATGTCCTATGGTAACTAACCTGTTGATATGTATAAACTAGGTGCTCAATAAACATATACATAAGGTCAATTTTTTTACTATGAAAATGATTTTGAATCTGACATAAAATTATTGCAGTAAGAAGTAAATATCTTTCAGAAAGCACAGAAGAAATAATTATGCATTAGGTCATATTTCAGTTTCTAAGCCATGTT